TTCACAGCAGCGTAAAGCTTAAAAGCTTGAATTTGTGGCTTTAACTAAAACTCAGCTGGCTCTTGGGGGAAATACCGTTCAAAACTTACCACAACCACCAGCGCGTAGACGAAGCTACTTCTTGGGATGGATTCCATGTCGGTTGAGCACGATTAGGATTCATAAAGCTTCTGAATCGCACATTGCTCGGTATCAATATTGGTTTGGGTCGATGCGTTTTCGAGAGCAAGTGGTGTGTTACGAAATTTGACTGAGCATTCATTTGTCGAAGTGAATTTCAGCTGTTAAAACCCCGACTTGGCCATTGAAGAACAGGGCTAACGGAAGGATTAAGCGCCCCAACACTCTGCTGGCCAGCGAAAGCATTGGACCCTTCCTGGTCCTTCCCATGGCTGGCGTGCCATGCGTCTAAAGACAACGGTTCACATCTTTTGCGCGGGTGCGTTCCTATGTCATAAACCATTCTTCTACGGGGGGCGCACGCACATAGCATAGCGTTTTATCTTTGCAGTGAGGACGCTTGTTAATCCTTGGAAGGAAGCACTGCCGAATTAACATAAGTAGAATGAGGACTTTGGACTTTGGATATCAAACCCGATTTCCGAGAATGCAAGACCCGATTTACGACAGTGCACGCGATTTCCATCAACGCAAAGCCCGATTTCCGACAACACACCTGATTTCCAACAATACACCCGATTTTCGACAATACAAAACCTGATTTCCGACAATACAGGCTCCCCGGGCCTGCATTCAAACGCACGCTCCCCAGCCCTACATGGCCGACCCTGACTTATTTGCACACACGAATTCTTAGGGTAAGGGTCGTATCGCCGAAAACGACCAAAAATTCGGGAAAATTTGGCCGGGTTATGCCGCGGGAACTCTAAATAAAGGTGTGAAGAACCTCCCGAAATTTCGGCAAAATTTCGGGGCCTTCTAGGCCGCGCAAAGAGGCGGGAGCTTGTGCCACGGAGAAAAGATCGGGACAAGTATAATCGTTCGCCGCAAGCATTATGTTTCGGCCGGCAATGATTTGCCGATGCATGGCAAAAACGACCTCGAGGCCATACCGATTTATAGGAAAAATACTAAATAAACAATAATAATATTTATACTAACTCTAATAATGCAAAATATTTATTTTAAATACAAATATTTAATTATTAAATTTAAAATATAAAACATATATATTTTAATATTTAATATATATATATATAATTCAAATTTAATAATATTTAATATTATATAAACTATTAAATTACATTTTTTTAAATATTTATAAGATATTAAATTTTAAATAACTATATATAATTGTTACATATTAAACTTCAAGCAATAATTGTTTTTAATATAAATTAAAATTATTTATTTTTGAATTATTTAAATATAAATATTATAATAATTTTAACTTATATATATATATGTTTTTGTTTTAACAAAACTAAAACATATATTTTGTTTTGTTTTAATTAAAAGAAATTTAGAAGGACATATATCCGAGTTACGAAAACTAATTAAAAACTAGATAGTGTAGGGAAAGAAAAAAACAAAATAAAAGACGCGCGAGAAAAAACATAGGTGTACGTATAATAGAGGAATAGAATTTGTGAAAAAGAGTAACCCTCTGCGGGTTCGGTGGTGTAAAGCTAGTTGCAAGCTATCTAAGTCGTGGTATCTAACGGACGACGGACACGGGACGGGCTCGGGACGGGGACCATTAGCACGGCAACGCAGAGGTTTCGCAAGGTTTAATTAAAATGCGTAGCAGGCATAGCATTTTGGCGAGATCGAATACAGATTTCGTAGTAGGTATACCACTTTCGCAAAGTCAACTTTTCTCAAGGTTTGAATTGAGTAGCAGGCAACACTTTCGAAAATTCAAGTACAGATTTCATAGCAGGCATAACACTTTCGCAATTTCAAGTATATATTTCGTGGCAAGTACAATACTTTCGCAAAATCAAATAAAGATTTCGTGGCAAACACAGCACTTTCGCAAAGTCAAGCACAGATTTCGTGACAAACGCAGCACTTTCACAAAGTTATATACTTATTTCGTGACAGGTACAATAATTTCATAAGGTTAAATACAAAATTCTTGGCAAACATATCACCTTCGCAAGGTCAAGTGCACAATTCGTAGCAAGTGCATCACTTTCGCAAGGTAATATAGAATTCGTAGCAAACATAATACTTTCACAAGGTCAAATACAAATTTCGTAGCAAGCACAGCACTTTTTGCAAAGTCAATTTTCGCAACCAGGACTCGAAAATCATAATTTTTAAATACGAAAATAATACACAAAATCAATTTTCATAACTAAAGCTTAAAAACCACAACTTTTACATATGAAAATAATATACAAAATCCACTTTCGCAATCAGACTCAAAAAATAAAAATGAAAATAGTATACAAAATCCATTTTCGCAATTAGAGTTCGAAAATCGTAATTTTTAAGTACAAAAATAGTATATAAAATCCATTTTCGTAACTAAGGCTCAAAAAAATACGAAAATAGTATACAAAATCAAAAAAATAAAAAAAATAAATAAATATATAAATAAATAAATAGAGAGCAAAATAAATCAATCAATACATAACAAAAGAAAAAAATAAAAAAACTCGATAAATAAATAAATAAAAATAAAAATAAAGAGATATATATAGATAAGTAAATAGATAAAGAAATAAATAAATAAATAGATAAAAAAATAAAAAGACTAAGAGAAAGAGAAAGACAAGCAAAGAGAATAAGATAAAAAGGTAAACAGAGAGATAAATAAATATATCTATAAATAATTAGAAATATAAATAAATAAATAGAGATAAATAAATACATATAATAATAAGATAGAAAAATAAATAAATAAATAAATAAAGAGATAAACAAATAGAGAGAGAAAGATATATATATAGGTAGACAAAGGGATATATAAAGAGAGATAGACAGATAAATAAATAGATAGACAGATAGAGAGATAAATGGAGAGATAGATAGATAGATAAATAGATAGATAATAGAAAGAGATAGAGAAAGAGAGATAAATAAATAGAAAGACAAAGAGATAGAGAAATAGAAAGATAGAAAGAAAGAGAGATAAAGAGATAGATAGATAGACAGACAGAGAAAGAGAGAGAGAGAGACAGAGATAAAGGGATATAGAGAGATGGATACATAGAGAGATAGAGAGATAAATAGAGAAATAGATAGATAGATAAGCAGATAGATAAATAACACGAGAGATAGATAGATAAGTAGTTAGGTATAGATAGGTAGAGAAAGATAGATAGGCAAGCAAACGAAAGAAAGAAAGAAAAGACAGATAGATGAAGGAAAGAAGGGAGGAAGGAAGGAAAGAAAGGAAGAAAGGAAGAATGACGGAGAAAAAGAGTCAAGAAACGAAAGAGAAAGAGAACTATAGTTTGTATATTTTTGAAACTTCCGCCCACCGGCTTCGCCGGCTCTACTGGTATATTAAAATTGTTGCTTTAACCCGGTTTAGAGTTCCCATGGCTCCCTTCCTGGTCGGTTCCAAAAAGGAATCATAGTCAGGGGGCGTTAAACAAAAACACCCCCCAAGGTTTACAAAACAATATTTACCCCATACATTGTCAAAAAATGGATGTTGCCCGAAGACCCACCATTTTTTAATTCCCCATGGCTCCCTTCCTGGCCGGCTCCAAAAAAGGAAATTCTCAATAACCGACAACCAAAAACCAACAAACCAACAAACCCAACCAACAGCCAACAATCAACAACCAACAACCAACAAGAAACAGCCACCAAACAACAAACAACAACCTTCAATCCTCAAAGTTTGGGGGTTACAACCTTCAATCCTCTGACTTTGGGGGCTGCAACCTTCAATTCGGAAGCTGTACTGTAAGTCAACTGCAAAGGAAGCCTTCAATCCTTAAACTTTGGGGGCTGCAGCCTTCAATCCTCAAAGTTTCGGGGGTTGAGCATCTGATGCCATGCAGAAGAACCAGCACATCCAAATGGAAGTACATTCTGGAAACAAGAGGCGTCAACGTGGATTGAAGCACTCTACTTTTGTACTTTTGCACCTCCACAACCAACGCCTTCACTTTTGGCAGCCACCATGGATTTTCGGGGAACACGCTTCAAACTCCCGTGATCCGAATGTCTGGCACAGAGAGAGAGAGAGAGAGAGAGAGAGGCAGAAAGTTGAAAGTTGGAGTGCTGGTCTGCGCAAACAAGCAGCGCGCTCACAGTCCATGTCTAAAGAAGAAGCCATCCTGCGACCTCCCAAATGCATCAAAAGGGCCACCAGGTCACCTGTTTTCCGGATGACGAACGTGCGTCATAAATCCTCGTGACATTTACGCCGTCGTGCGTGTGCAGCCTGTCAGCCTCAAAAAGCTTTTCTGGTCCAAACAATCACTTCTGTCCGGGTGAAACCTTTGCTGACGCTTGGCGCCCTTTTGGCAGTCCAGGCAACGACTACATTAGCTCTCGCTGAGCATCATGCAATGGCAAGTTTCCGTATGCGGTTCTTGAGCGAATCGTTTTCCTGAAGCGCAAGCTGAACTGGCAGAGAAGGCGAGCCACGGCCTGCCTCTTCCCTCTCCAGAATGGAAGCGTCCAACTCTTCCAACTGCAGCTTCACCTGCGCCAGCTCGGCCTGGGCGATTGGCAAAACAGATCTCAACTCGTCATGAATACCGGGGTCAAAGATATCTACCATCGGAAACACAAGAGCCATATCAGCCATATATCTATGTTTGTGAACGGACGCCAAGCTGTACTCCTCGTGTTCATTTCGGCTCACAGCTGAAGGCGCACCGGATTTGCTGTCTGCCCTGCTCCGGAATCTGACCTGGCCAAGAGAGTTCACGCTTTTGGAAGTGAAGAATGCTTGGGCACATGCCCAGACAATACTCTGCGCCTAAAGACTCCTCCAGACTGCGACTCATTCAAGCCGGCTTGCAACTGGTTCACAGACTCTGTGTACCTGGAGGCAGCACAT